GCTGGCTATTCGCATAGGTGCGTCTGCGCTGCAGCTAGTGGATGCATTAACCTAAAATGATGTATGTGTATCCGTGCGAATCAAGCTAGCCAGGGCATTTTGAAGCTGGGACTAGCGCCTGGAAGCGGCTGTTGATCAGTCTTCTAAGTGTTCGTGCAATTTTTTATTTCTTCAGCTTTATTCCTGCGAGTTGAAGTTGAAGAACACGCAAACAAGGGATGGAAGGAGGCCGTATCCGTTTTTTCCGGCAGGCTATTTGAACGAAAACTGTATAAAAAGGCTGTGCAGCAAATGAACGCAAATGCTAGGAAATTCATTGAAAGGTTCATGGGAGGCTTTGGTCACAATGCAACAGGAAAGATCGAAAAGGTCAAGAAAAGGATCCGACGTATTTTTAAAAGGAGATCCAGAGAAAAAGTTTCGGAGAATACAGTGCACCACAAGGTTGGCCATGACTTCGCCAAGCTTATCCTCGTCATGTGGGCGAATGGCAGCCAGCACCATATAGACCTTCCGCCCAGCAAAGTTGAGGAAGCTTTCCGCCGGGCTAGACAGTACCAGACACTTACGATCTTTAACCATGGTAGGGCGACCTCGCAGGTGCTGTAGCCGAGAGCTGAGCTGTTTAACATAAAAATTATAGCAGAGACTTTCTCCAAGTAGCCTTGCAGGTCCATGCCATGTCTGACTGCGTTATCGTAGGTATGGACCCGATGACAACGATAACGAAGGATATCAAGGCTGGTTGTAAAGATACCAGCGTGGTGAGGCATAAGTACTGGTCTTTACTCGACAAAGACAAAACGAAAATATCCAAAATTGCAGATGAACTAGGGCTAGGCCTAGTCTACGGATTTGCCACCGGCAAGACGTATTCCCAGCTTTCAGAATCTGGTCGCGAACTAGCTGATGCTTGCAAGGGAAAATCGAAATTGGACTTGCTTTCTCAAGGAACAAAGTACCGTGGAATGATGGAGCTCCACCAATGCATGAAGCTTCGAGGTAGGATATTTAGCCAGATACCGTTAGATCCAGTTTCACTGCTTGACGACGAGGAAAATCCAGACTGAAGTGACGGCTGCTACTTGATGCGCAGGTCTAGGAGTGAGGTTTCTACGAATCGCACTAAAGAATGTGAAAACTCCAACAGCAGATGTTACAGGAATTCTTTTCAGCTTTCTTAAGAAAATCCTGGCAATCCGTAAAGAGGACGCAAAGGGTCTGTACAAAGCTTACCTCCAATGGGTAAAAGAAGGTGAAACCTCAAAACAAATAAATAAGTGGAACGATAGCATCGAGGCTTTTGAGTGCTCGTGGCACTCGTCACAGGAGGAGCAAAACCACATGCTGGCTGAGGCTGGCAAACTAAAGGAACGGGACGCCACAGCTGAAGATTCGGCCTCTCTTGAACTCCAATCTTGTCGCGGTAAGCTTGCCTAAGGCTTATGTACCTGAATCTTGACTACCACGCAAGCAAATCCTCTAGGGTTCGTGTTGCACTCTAAGCACTGTGCCGTACACTGTGTTGACTGGATTCGCAGCGAACGCCAATGACGTACTGGATTTGCAACAGACCCAGGCAGACGTCCTTCCTGGAGATGTAATCTTCTCTACCCTTCTGTAACGCATTTGTTAGATTGCCAGTTGGGAATGTTCTTTTC